AGCAACACCGAGGGTTGCGATCCGTTGCCGGACACGGAAAAAGACAAAAAAAAAAAAAAAATCTGGATAATATATATAATTTCATTTACTGTGAGTGACATAGTTTGTAGAACATCATTTTTTTCATAGATCTATTTTATTTATTTTTATTGAAACAGTTGATTGTACGTATCTGTGGGGTACAGAGTTAAATATCAATACCTGTGTACAATATGTGATGCTAACATCAGGATAATATATTCAGCATTATTCATTGTAATCGTTTATTGTGTTCCTTTCTCCATTTCTCCCTTACCCCCCCTTCCCCTTCCTCTTTCCCACCTCTGGTAGCCTCAATTTTGATAAAATTCCCTTTTGAAAAATTATTCAGTTGGTTGTGACAGAGAAAATAGTATGAAAAACTTCAAATCATTCATTAGCACACAATTTAAAGCATACAGTTTAAAGCACCGTTTTAGGCACAGAAGGCAGATGAAATGATGAAATTAAATGCCTTTTCTATCCATGAAGTGCTCACAGTCTAGAAAAGTAGATGTACATATAAGTAACTATAATTCAGTGTGATGTGTAAACATAGACTATTTGCAAACTACTCTGTGAATATAGATGAGGACTTAATTCATTTTTCTGTGAAGTTCTACAAAGTCTTCACAGAAGAGGTTATATTTAAGCTGGGACTCAAATGAATGAAAGTTCATGCATTTTGTTGATAAGGAGAAAGAAGGACATAGACATTTGTACAGGCAAAGGGGAAAAAAGCATAAACACTTCTTCTTTAAAGCTAAAATTATGGATCCAGACAGTGAGAATACTCTATATAATGTTCTTATTGAGATAACTCTTTAATGTTATTTTATAAAATAAAAAGTCCCCCTTTTCAGAATGGTGGGTGCTTCTGGCATGCAGACAATGCTCTGTTTCTTGATTGAGTGCTAGTTATATGGTGTATTTATTCAATTTGTGTAAATTTATTGTGCTGTACATATACACTTTGCACACTGTTTTTTAAGTGCATTTTATTAAACTCTGAACAGAACTTTAGAAAATAACATTAGTGGAGGAGCTGAAATATAAAATGGAAAATTATCTAAGACATTGGAATTCTGTTGACTGTTTTTGTCTCAAGAGTGAAAATGACATGTAAATTTCTGAACTCTGTTTTTCAGGGAACAATTAAGTGCTGGGTTCCAAGCAGAGGGTCCCAGATTGTGATTTTAAAATACCTAGAAGCTATGGGTGGTAGCATCTGTTACCAAAAGGGGGCTTACATTGAACTTGTTAAGGCTATTAACATTGCGTTTGTAGCCTATCGTAGCTGTCTGATCTTGCCTTTGCTTCTCATATGTACGATCTTAGAAAACCTGCCTTCCATAATTAGAGTTTACTTGGCTCTATTCACCACCCACTCTGGTGATTTTTTGGCAGCGGAATTTGTACCAGACTTAATTATAGCACTGTAAAATTACAGACAACTCTTCAGTGTCCTAGCAGGCAAATTTGCTCTTGTCTAACAGTGTGAAAGACCCAGGATTTATATATTTTGGCATTGCCTTCATATTGTATTTAACATTGATTTTGGAGGCAATGGCTAGTCAAATCTGTGTTTGTCCCTATATTTTTAGAATAGATGAAGCAATGTGGCATGAAAAATTATATAATATATGACTTGTGATGTGAAATAACTAAAAAATTATTTCCATAGCTGATTTTTTGGCAGGAAGAATTGGTACATTATTGATAGAAAATACTGTTTTCTCAAAATGGTTTACCTATCTACTTTGGTTCTAAAAATACCTTCTAAGTTGAGAATAATTATTTCCCTTAAAAGCTTTTAATTAGGCTTTTTAAAATTGTTATGAAGGTGACTGCAGGAACTTGGGCCACCACTTTTTCAAAATTTTAAAGTGATGTTTATAGCTCCAGTTGCAGAATATTGCCAATGGGGGGTTGTACAATTCCAGCCTTACATCTTTCATTTGGAATCCTTCATCAATATTATGTTGACATCCTTAGAGTTTAAATTTACTCTAGAGAAGTCTTCAAAAATAATATAACTGACCTACAGTGTTTGAGTTGTACGTACCCTGTAGATAGCTTTGCCAAGACCACTTGGTTTCACATCTTTGTTGTTGACCTAGGACTAAGTAGAATAGGTTTTGTGGGGAAGGAAAGAATGGAAGTGTGACAGTCCTTTACTTCCTTTTGGAGCAATGTGGCATAAAAGTCCGTGAATCAGGCAGTCAGGAAAATGTGCTTGTCGGCCTCTACGTCTCTAGTGGTAGAAATAATATATTAGTATTATATTCATGATTTATTTTATACTTTTTGTTTTGTTACATGTATATCCATAACTGGAAGAAGACAGATGAGAATCCAAAGATTATTCTTGCTTTAAAAGTCAAAATATTCTGTTTTAATCTGCAGTTTGTCATTCTAGCACCTTTGAGAGTCATTGACTTTAAAGTACCAGTAGGTGGCGGTAGAATATTTTTTTT